GTACCCTTTCTCTCATCGGAGTGTTGATCGTTCTCTTTCTATCTCACCTCAGCTTCAAATCTTCTGTATTCCTGTCTGTAATAGTCTGGTAGTCAGGTACTACCCCGTGTCTCCGCCTCCCGGCCAACCTGTCCTTTTAGCCCCCCTCCAAGGCAACTATCTCCGCCAACCTTGAACCCCCAATCTCCGTCTCACTCTCTATGCCGCGTCGCTAGTTACCGAGAATCGATTTACGACCTGCCCTTGAAGGGTATTCCGGCACCATGTCCTCACAATCCCACCACGGTCATTCCGCGACGTCACGTCAATTCCCCGTCTACAATCCCGTCGCCGCAGTGACAGCACCTGCGGGGACCTTGCTTCCGGGCACCAAGATTCAAGTCGGCGGCCATCGCGTGGTGGTAGAGAAGTACCTCTCTGAAGGCGGTTTCGCTCATGTTTATGTGGTGCGATTGCCTCAGCCAGTCAATGGGTCCGAAACCGCAGTGCTGAAGCGAGTGGCCGTGCCTGACAAGGCGGCCCTTGCTAACATGCGCACTGAGGTGGAAACCATGAAGAGACTCAAGGGTCACCGGCACATTGTGAAGTATATTGATTCACATGCCTCGCAGCTGCGTGGAGGTGGATATGAGGTGTTCCTGGTCATGGAGTACTGCGCGGGTGGTGGTCTTATCGACTTCATGAACACCCGGCTTCAACACCGGTTGACAGAGCCGGAGATCATCAAGATCTTCTCCGATGTTGCTGAAGGTGTTGCGTGCATGCATTATCTTAAACCGCCCCTCCTCCATCGTGATCTCAAAGTTGAGAATGTTTTGATCTCGGGTAAGGGGAGTTCCGCCACCTATAAACTATGTGATTTTGGATCATCGGCACCCCCTCGTCCCGCCGCTACTTCCGCCGCCGAGGGCCGCTTGATTGAAGACGATGTGCAGCGTCATACGACACTTCAGTACCGAAGCCCAGAGATGATTGATGTCTACCGGAAGCAACCGATTGACGAAAAGAGTGATATCTGGGCACTTGGTGTGTTTTTGTACAAATTATGTTATTATACAACCCCCTTCGAAGAGGTCGGTCAGATGGCTATTCTCAACGCGACCTTCAAATACCCTTCCTACCCTTCATTTTCGAGTCGGCTAAAGTTGCTCATTGGTAAGTTTGGAACCAATTTGGTTTGCCTATAGACGATCATCGACGGCTGACGACTCTGCACAGGCTCAATGTTGAAGGAAGATCCCCGCAATCGTCCCAACATATACGAGGTCGTGCGCGAGGTGTGCAAAATGCAAGGAAAGGAAGTTCCCATCAAAGACGTATGTTCACCCCCACGCCTCTTTTAGTGAGAACTTGACATTGACTGTCGATTAGATCTATTCCAACCGCTCTGTTTCTGAAGCGCGCAAGTATCAAGAGCTACCGCCCACGCCCACCGAAGCTCCTGCCGTGGGTGCAGTATTTTCGCCTCCGATGCAGGAGACCGAGATAATCCCAGAGATTGCGCCTATGCGGCGTGGTCGACCTGGGAAATCCCCGTCGTCCCAATCTAGCTCCGAGAGACCGAGTCCCTCGCCATATCGACCCGCTGCTGACGGTTCGTCAAATGATCCATTTGCAGCCCTGGATGGGAGCGCAGCCCGAAAGAAGACGGCAGAGGAAATGTCAAAACGATTCCCCTCCTTGGACCAGTTTGACATTTTGCATGAAAAAGGGGACAAATTCGAGTTCGAGCCAACAGTAGAATCTAAGCCCGAGGACGAGGATCTATCTCGGAGACTCACCAACGCCCTAGCCGATGATGCTTTTGCCCGACGTGTCTCGCCTGAACGTGCGCCAAAGGCAGTCTATAAGCGGCCATCCCAGAATTCTCCTGTCCGGGCACCTAATTTGCGTGAAACTCCCGCGCCGCAGGCTGTTCCCTTGTACCAGCCAACCCCTCAGCGGCCCGCGATGGTGTCGACAGGTACCATGACCTCACCCGTCCAAACACCTCGTTTGCCGGAGCCAAAGCTGCTGAGTCGTCCAATCTATCGATTCCCTTCGTCTGATGCTGAACACCGATCTTTCAGCGAGCCATTTACAGCCGAGAAGGAACAGAAAGTGACACGGCCGCACAAGGCGCCTTCCCCTCCTATGTCGAGCTTAAATGTGGAAGAAAGCTCGCGGCTGCCTTCTGATCGTATGTCCAGCCAGTCTAACTCTGCGCGCCCCTCGATGGAAACCTTGAGACGGCCTCCGACATTAGAGGTAAATGATCCCGTGGGACGTTCTAAATCCGCCATTGGAAAGGCTCGCCCGATGTCAGTCCAGTCGGGAGTGAGATATGAATCGCCGCATGACTCTGAGAGCCCGCGGTCGTCGCTGGATATGTCCCGCCTGCAATACGAGGGAGGCGCGCCACTACGGTCAGTGCGTACCGATGTGGATCGTGAGTCTGATCGAACTATCTCTTCTGATGTCGATTACCTACGCGCGATGGAAGAAGAAGAAAGCAATCGGAAGCGCGAGAAGCGCTCTAGTGGTAGCCACAAACACAACAAGCGCGGTAGTCTGTCTACTTTGTCGCTTTCCGGGAGCAAGAACCTATTTGCTGGTCGATTCGGTGACGCATTCCGCCGATTCGAGGCGGGCAACCAAGAAAAATCCTCATCGCCATCGGCAGAGGATACACCTCGGCAGGGTCTGATTGGAGCGTCCGATTCAGCCGACGAGGGCCTTTCGCCAAATGACGAGATTACCTTGGAAGACGCGGACCGGGACGATATATCACCGGAGATGCGCCGGGAGCTTGAACGCCGCCGGCTCTCGCAGGAGGAGAAACGAGTTGCCAATGCCGCAGCTGAGTACCGGCGCCGGGTTGCCGAGACGGGTGACGGGGGTGGAAGAGCGATCGGGGATGGCGCGCGCTCCCGCACGATTCAAAACAAGGTACAATCGTTGCTTGGAGAGTCTGAAAAACCGACCGTCCCTAAGACTGCGACTGGGTATGGACGGTTCACGGAGACTTCCTCTTCTTTGCAGGCAAAGCAGAGTGAGGCCAGACCCACCACGTCCAGCCAGCTTCCCGCTTCACACACATCCGGCCCGCCATATACTCGTGACGGTTCAATGGCACTCCCGGATCGTCGAGAGGGCCCCAATATCTCTGCAGGTCTCCCGCAGTCTGTTGCCCCTACCAGTTACCCATCCACGCAACGTCCCGCAGCTCGACCAGCCGCACCACCCAAGCCCAAGAATTTGCGCGCTGGAGCAGCCACCTCGCGACCGGGTACTGGTCATGACAATGGTCCCTCCCAAGAGACCCCAGCAAGCCCGGGTGACGACTGGGAGGCCAAATTCAGCCAGCGTTTCCCAAGCTTGTCCGGACTTGAAATGGAGACAGAGATTAAAATCCCGAAAATTTCTAGTCTCAGGACACGGGAAGTGTAGGGTATTGGATACAAGTCTTGTTTCACATGATGCGGTTCAGCGTGTGTTCGTGTGTTCGCCGTGCGGGCGCAACTCGGGGAATGACATTGGTTCCCACGAGCTATGCATATATAGACAGTGACATATTGGACATTATATAAGTTCTCTTTAAAACATGGCTCCGAAGAAACTACCTTCGTTTTCTGTAATCCTAGCTGGAAACGCTTGATCTCAACTATCTTGGTTGTCTACGTCAACCTTGTCCACACACCGCCTTTGTCTCTCCCCGCCGCAATAGCAAGAGACGCCTCACTTTCAGCTTATAGGTCGACCCCTCTTTCAAGCTCTGAGATCATGGCGCCAGTGACTTTGAAAACGGTCGATGGTGGGTTACAAGCAGCAGGTAGCCTTGAGAGTAAACATGCTAATTCCTCACGCAGACGACCTGAAAGATGTGATCCAGCACTTATTCGAGATCCAATCCGCCGTCCACGGCTATCTGGGTCCAGAGACCCAACAGGAGCTTGTGCGAAAAATGTACGTCAGCTGCGATGTCATCCTAACCTCCCTCCATTCCTTTATGCCCACAAAAGTCTTCACGACAACCAACATAACTAAACACCAACCCTATATACCATTAAAACTAATCCACCCCAGCAAAAACCTAACCCTCGCCCTCTCGAACCTGTCAACACACACCCAACTCCCGCCAACACAGGAGAACCAACCAGACGCAAACACCGACCCCTCCAACCCCTCCCTCGCCAGCATCCAGCTCCCACCAGAGATAATTGACTACGTCGACTCCGCGCGCAACCCGGACATCTACACGCGAGAGTTCGTCGAGCTTGTGCAGCGTGGTAATCAGGACCTGCGCGGGAAGCGCGAGGCCTTTGCGAGCTTCCGCGACGTACTGGCCCGCGAGATGCGCAGCGCTATGCCCGAATGTCGCGGCGAGGTGGATCGTGTGGTCGCTGCGACGAGTGGGGCGGTTGATGGACCTGATGGTGTCGCTGGAGCTGCGGCTACATCTGATGGCGGAAAGTGAAGGCCCTTTGATAGGTGCAGGTCTGATATTCCTGATTGTAGGCTTGCCTCTCGTTGGCAAGGGTCGACTTCGTGGGCTGAGGTCTAGTCCGGCCTTGATATTCGGTTCATGCATTTAGCCGTTTGTTTGAAGTTCATGGACCTGGTGCATTCGTTGGAGTTTCTATGGTTTGCATTGAGCGTGGCGCTTGCAAGGCTTCTTCTTTTCTTTCGGTTTATGTATAGTGTCATAGTTAAGAAGTTTTGTAGCGGCCTTTTGATGATTGATAATTTCAGCGACAAGCTTAGAAGCGTTACTTACCTACACGTATGGATTAGATCTTCGTATATATGTACTTTATATCAAATATCACTGGAGCGCGGGGATCGACTACCCCTTAGCCTTGCCATAATATTTCTCTAGTTGCTTGGGGATAGGTTCACTGCACAGTAAAGTTGTATATAGATCAAAAGCAGCAATTGCTTGGCTGTGATGATGTTTGCTGGCAATTTCATGCTGCCTGATAAATACGGCCACAAAGTCATTCTATGGCTGACGTCATCGGATGGACATGAAGCAAATCTCGGAAGATGAGTTTCCGGTCCTCACGAAGCACAATGCCAGCTCGAAGGAGCCGATCGGCAGCAGCGTGTTTGCATTGTCGCCAGAAAAAGGTGGGTATTCCGGGCCTCTACACAGACTTTGAACTCATTATCGGATTAAAACAAGTAGTTGAAGTGTGATGCCCAGAGGCCCCAGTGTGGGAATTGTCTAGCCAAGAGTATCGAGTGTCGGCTAGGCGTGGTCCAGAGTAAGCCAAGGTACAAACGAGATCCCTACGATCAAAATTCAAGATTCGAGTTGCTGATACTTTGCTTTTGGGCCGACCAACCACCGCATTGCGGAATTAGAGCAGGAGAATGAAATCCTTCGACAGAGATGTGCACAGCTCCAGGGCAGCAACACCACTTCTGCTGGAAGGGTCCAATTGGAGCCGGAGCATTCTGTTACATCGGAAGGCACCCCACGTACTCCATTGCCATTCTCGAGAGTAACTGGTATTGGTCTCTCGTGGAATGACTCTCCCTCCACTTCAACTAGAGATGCATCCCACCCAGAAGTACCGGAGAACGACCGCAGAAATACGTCATTGTATCATGGCCCAACGAGTACAGTGTATGATGATACAAGTCCGAACCACGACGAGCAGAATAGACCAGGTCAATCCAATGAAGAGGGAACACGGCATTTTCTCTTTTCCCAGACAGCGAGGCAGAGCAAGTCGGATCTCATGCAATACTGAATATGGTTATGGTACTAACCGGAAATAACAGGACAGCTTGAGCCACTCAATCTTGCCGCTGGAAAGCTCGACTTTGATGGCATTGATCCTGAGATCGGCATGCATTTACTCTCCATATACTGGAGTCGTCAGCTTTACACAGCGCAGATAATTTATCGGCCGGCTTTCATGCGAGACATGGCCTGCGAAGGACCATACTTCTCCAAATTACTGTTGAATGCGATATTTTTCGTAGTATCGAAACACTGCGACCGACCAGAGCTTCGTTCCGACCCAAATGACATTACGACTGCAGGGTGGGAGTTCCGGCGACGCTTCACACAGCTTTTGCGAGATTCCTTCGATAAAAGCGAAATCACTACCCTTCAGGCATTGTTGATAATGTCTAATGCGCTTTTTTCCAGATGTGATGAACGGAGTCTATCATGGCTATATGCTGGAAATGCATTCAATATGTTCATTGATCTTGGTCTGCATGTGCTTCCTGCTGTGGATAGTATCACTGCTGAGGAACTTGAAATCCGAAAGCGAGTTCTCTGGGGAGCGTACTGTGAGATATCACTTCCCTGTGCTGGGTGTGGCCCCCCGAATTACATCTAACTTCTCTGATAGTAATTGATAAGATCCAGTGTCTTTTCCAAGGAAGACCTCCACTTCTCAACCGTGTCAACTTGAGAGCGTCATTAGACTTCCTGGATGACTATGACGAGCTTGAACCTTTTCAGGGTATCACATACATGACTACAAAGCCCGGAGCAGTGATTCCATCACTGAACGTTTCTTTGCTCACCAATCTATGCGAGTTGACAACGATCGTGGAACGAATTCTCCGTGAGATTTATTCGGAATCTCGAGAGTCAAATCTGGTTCACAGGGCAAATATTTCAGAGGAAATCAAGTCGCAGCTGAGAAACTGGCGCCAAAACTTGCCGCTTCGGCTTGATTATCTGTCATTCCCAGACCAGGCGGTTTTCCTGCCTCAATCCGCCTGTCTTTTGTATGTTCCTTGCACCAAGACTAATTGATAACTAACTGCTAACCATTGGCAAGAGCTCTATTCAACGTCCTTATCATTTTGGTTCACCGTCCTCTAATAACTGGTCATGACGGGGTCATCAATTCAACAACTGCCCATGATGCAGTGAACGCATGTACAGCAGCTGCGAACCAAATTGTTCAGATTCTCCATGACTATTCGCAGCACTTCTCTCTGAGCAGTGCGCCGTACATGCTCTCTTACGCTACCTATATCAGTGCGACGATCCACGCACGGATTGTCGCACAGAAAGGGAGTAACTCAACCGTGTTCCAGTCACTAGTTCTTTGCCGAAATATTCTTGCTGAACACACATGCCTCTATTCCGCAGCAGAAAAGGCTAAGGAAAATTTGGATAAGTTGATTTCTCACTTAGGGATCAGTGATGCAGACGATAGTCTGCGCACTGGAAGCCCCGACAGCTCTGGGAACAACAACTTTCCGAACGAGCACATGGTGATGGATGAGTCTATTAATGTTGCCAGAGAATCCGGCGTTGCAGATCGTGCACTTGAATTTGGATCTTCCCTGCTGAGTTTGGAATTATCGGATCTAGACCTTGAGGCAATTGCTCAAGGCTTTCAGGTTGATGTAGAGTCGCATTCTTTCTGGAATTCTTTGGTATAAATGACCATACCCTCACGGTATGCATCCATGATGGTGATTTACGCGATCAATAATAGCGAGACAAACAAAATTTGCGTCTACAACAAAATTTTTATCCAACGGCATATAAGATGCACTAGCTACCGTAAGGCCCAAAGGCGGCCCTGCCTGCTTTCTGGGTGACAATCTCCATCTCACTCGCGAGCGAACTAGTCAGAGCACCAACATCAGTCGCAACGTTGACAAGGTCATACCCTAAGTCGGCATATTTCTTTGCCTGCTTTCCATTTCCACAGTAGATTCCAGCCTTCTTGCCTGCCTTATGCGCTGAAGACAGAACCTTCTCAATGGCTTGTTCCAATTCAGGCGCAAAAGTGCTACCCAGCACGGGGTGGCCAATACCATTGCCCAGGTCAAAAGGTCCGACAAATAACAAATCGAGTCCTTCGACGGCGGCAATGGAATCGACATTGTCAAAAGCCTCTTTCGTCTCAATCTGAACTGAGAGCAGGAGGTTGGCGTTGGCCTCCGTCAGATACTGGGTGGCTGATACATCCCTGCCAAACCTGTCCATTGGGAAAGGCGATCCGAAGCCTCGCTTCCCTTGTGGTGGGAATCGGCAGGCCTCGACGAAGGCCTTCGTGTCTTCCACTGTTCGCACGAGAGGAGCGAGAACTCCGTGTGCGCCTGCGTCCAGGGCACCTATACAAAGGATGAGAAATTGTCAACTGGCCTAGGATATATCAACTCTTGTTTGACATACGTTTAATCATCCAAGATTGGAAATCTGGAACGCGAACAATCGGGCTCACTCCATATGACGTTATGGCGGGAACAGCTTCGTGCATTGCGGCGTCTGCAAAGAACGTCAGCATGGAATCCCGAGCAAGGGCAAAGGCGCTGACCATCGATATTTCCATGTTCACAGTCCACTAAAACCCAGTCGTAGCCAGCTCGTGCTAGAGTGCGAGACATGTTGCTGCCGGGCAATAGCTGCCATACTCCCAGAGCGAGGCCCCCCTTGTCGAGCACTGTCTTTACACGGTTTAGACCTTGCATTCTTGATAAATTTGGCGCCGGTGAGTTATTGGAAATCCTATGGAAGTTAACGCATAATGGTCCGACGGCATATCTAAAAGATACCGATATCCGGATCGTCACATCCCGAGAGGCAAAAATCTCGGCTCATCACGGTGATCACGCGGGGCATTCCAACAAATTATACGATGCCGATGATTCGACACCGAATAGCTCGGCAAGTCTCTCCCGACTTGCACTCCGCATTTTTCAGGAAAGCACAAATGGGGAGTCTGCCATATATAAGCCATTGTCACCCCTCGCATGGGATGTTTATCCCACACTACCTCAATCTATAGTAATCTATAGTGCACATATAACACCATGGCGTGTTCCGATAAGAAGTCCTGTGAGGGCTGCTCATGCAGCGATGATGCCAAACCTCAACCAATCAACATCGAAGACTGTCTAAGTGAGTTGCAGGCCCTGAGACGACGCAATCAGGAGCTAGAAACGCGTATGGGAGTCAAAAGCGAGGCAGATAATGCCCAAATCCCCGTCAAGCAACCAGGACGAACACTTCGTTCGTCCGCATGGTTCGACTGCCGCAGCAACCCCGGCATGACAGCTACCTACATGGAGCGGTATTTCAACTACGGTATCACCAAAGAAGAGCTCATGTCCGGTAAGCCGATGATTGGAATTGCTCAGACAGGCTCGGACATTGCGCCTTGCAATCGCCATCACATTGAGCTCTCCAAGCGTGTTCGTGAGGGTATCCGGACTGCTGGAGGTATTCCATTTGAGTTCCCCACACATCCTATTCAGGAGACGTCCAGACGACCCACTGCTACCCTCGATCGTAATCTGGCGTATCTTGGCTTGGTGGAGATATTGACGGGGTATTTCCTTGATGGTGTTGTGTTGCTTACTGGGTGTGATAAGACAACCCCGGCTTGTTTGATGGCTGCGGCTACGATGGTGGGTATCAGGCCTGAGAGATTCCTAGATCCCTGCTGATGTTTTTAGAATATCCCTGCTATTTGTATGAACGTGGGACCTATGCTCAACGGTTACTCCAAGGAAACTTTGACCGGATCAGGCACTGTATTATGGCATGGGCGAGAGCTCTTCGCCACGGGTGACATTGACGAACATGAGTTTATGGATTACATCGCCCGAGGGTAAGCCATCTCCAAAGCCCCGGCTAATGACCCCAGAATCTAACCCGAACTTCAGAACTCCATCAGTCGGCCACTGCAATACAATGGGAACTGCCTCGACGATGAATGCCCTTGCAGAGTCCTTAGGAATGGCACTGCCCGGGTCAGCCGCCATCCCCGCTGCCTACCGTCATAGAGCCCAATGTGCCTACGAAACAGGCAAACGGATCGTGGAAATGGTAGAGGCAGACCGGAAGCCGTGTGATATTATGACACGCGAGGCCTTCGAGAATGCTATTGTAGCGAACGCCGCAATTGGCGGCAGCACGAATGCTCCTATTCACATCAACGCTATCGCGCAGCATGCGGGCGTAGAGGTGTCCATGGATGATTGGGATACCTTCGGATCTACCATCCCGCTGCTGTTGAATATGCAGCCCTCAGGGCAATACCTCGGTGAAGAATACTACCGCGCTGGAGGACTACCGGCTATTATGGCCGAGCTATTAGACCAGGGCAAGCTGAACGGCGATGTGCTCACTTGCAACGGCAAAACACTTGCCGAGAATGTCCGAGGGAAGCATTCATGGGATCGACGTGTCATCAAACCATACGATGATCCATTGATTAAAGATGCCGGATTCGCTCATTTGAAGGGTAATCTCTTCGACTCTGCAATAATGAAGACATGTGTCATCTCACCCGCATTCCGGAAGCGATACCTCTCCAACCCCGATGACCCAGAGGCATTTGAAGGATCTGTTGTGGTGTTTGACGGACCCGAAGACTACGAAGATCGTCTGGAGAATACGCCATACATCGACGAGAAGACCATCCTTGTTATGCGTGGTGTTGGCCCAATCGGTTATCCTGGAGCAGCAGAGGTCGTCAATATGCATCCACCAGGCCGACTTTTGAAAAAGGGTATTGATGGACTTTTCTGCATCGGGGACGGCAGACAATCGGGAACATCTGGGTCACCTTCTATTTTGAATGCTAGCCCGGAGGCTGCAGCTGGAGGAAATCTCGCTATTTTGAAAGATGGGGATAGACTTCGCATTGACTTGCGCAAACGGCGGGTGGACATGCTCATTACCAATGATGAGATCGAACACCGAAGGAAAGCATTGGGTACCGAGGGATATCCTGTCGCCCCGAGTGGTACTCCGTGGCAGGAGCTCTTCCGCCAGGAAACCGAGCAGCTGAACAATGGTATGGTGCTACGAAAGGCAGTCAAATATCAACGACTAGCTCAAGAAGGCCAGCCACTGCGCCATAATCATTGATAGGCGGCACATCGGACAACGTTGTTGAGCAGTCGCCTAGGTTATGTCTTTCCCAGTAGAAGTCCTTGGACATAACAAATGTTTATAAATATATGTATGTAATACTCCAAATATCCCTTGTTATATATTGAAAGTGCTTTCGTAGGAACTAAGCTTGCATGCGGGAACCAATTATGTGACAAATGAGGAGAATTAACTCCAATTCTCAACATGTGTATAATAATTAGGCACTCTGAAGAAACATCGCATTAAGAGGCGAAGATAGCGAAGGAAAGGAAAAGGCATTGCATTTGTGACTAACAAAAGAAGCATATCACTACAGTCCAAATGGATAAGTTTCGCCCTTTCCAAGCGGCGTCTCGGGTTGGATGACCTCCAATGGTTTAACAGCCTGGGTCCTATCAAACCAGATATAACCATCAAACTGCTTGTGAAGGAAAGCCTGCGAGTAGTGGGAGACACGCTCGGTATCAGGGCGGTAGATGACACCAATGAAACGCTCCAGCCGTTGCTCAGCAGCCATAGCTGAGCGCAGAGCGGAATCTATGCGATCCTGACGCAGGTCGAGCACGAAGCGTGGCACCCCAGTATCATGGGCAACAATCTCCCAACTATCATCCCGGGATGGACGGACGGACATGACCTCCATATCATCGTCCCACTCATGGGCCGCTGCAACAGTGCCAGTGTGGGTTCCGCATCCAAGAATGGTCACATTCTCGCCTCCCAATCTTTCACGGCATAGCTGCCCGATGTTGAGCTCATTGCGGCGATAGCCCATGCTTGTATAGCGCGCATCCCCGACGTGGGAATTGTGCGCCCACACAATGGCTTTCTGTCCCTCATTGTGCTTTAGCAGGCGTTCCAACGTCTCAAACATGTGCGTGTCGCGCAGGTTCCATGAACTCGCTGAGCTGTAGTACATTGATTTGTAATACTTCTCCGCGTCCTGAACCAGGTGCGCATTCTGTTCGCCGCTGTGGTATTCATCGCCATCCTGCGAGGCCGCGTATTCAAGCCGTCGCTCCAAAAGTTCTCCAAGCATCTTCATCACAGGGGCTTCACAGTCTTCCATGCCTCGAAGGGATGCCAGACCATATGAAGTGGGTTCATCAACCCAAGGCTCTAGACACCCGTATCGCTGGCGCGCTTGCTTGGCTGTCGGTCGGTCAACCCGCTCCAAATATTCAATCACAGCACGGATCGAGGCTCCCATGCTGTACAGATCCAGCCCATAGAACCCGGCTCTTTGCTCTGCTGGGAGGGCCTGGTTTCGATCACGCATCCATTCAACTAGGTTTTGCATCTCAGCATTCCTCCACATCCAGGTAGGAAATCGATTGAATGGTTCATATCGTTTCGCTTGTCCTCCAATTTGCGCCTTGGGCCCTGGGCGCAAGCGCACGTATCGGTCAATGGCCTCTGCATCTGGCCAGTCTGCTTCGACCGCAACCATGGTATAGCCGTGTTGTGTAATGAGTCGTTTTGTGATCTCTGCGCGTGCAGCATAGAATTCAGATGTTCCATGACTGCCATCGCCTAGTAACATCACTTTGTTACCCGCAAACGTATCGAAGTGTGAGGCGAAGTCCTTGTCCTCGATTGCAGGCAGGGGCTGCACTGCTGAATTGAACATCTCCTGTAGTTGAGGCATTCTTTTCGTAGTTCGAAATATAGACGCCAAGCGCATGAACGGTTAAGCTGGGGTTGGGGATATCTTCACGGAAAATATTCTCATGTAGATGAATATGTTGAGTACTGACACGCTGGAGATTACCCATGGCATTTCTATTCTTCTTTCATCAATACAACATAGTTATGCTCTTTGTTTCGCGGGACTTTTCCCAGCGAATTATTGACATCCCGGCGGCTAACCAGTCATCATGACTTCATCCTCGAAGGCAAACCACAGTGCTTCAATTCCGACGATACTGGAAGGAATGACACTCAGAATAAAATTTGATAACAAATGCGGTGGTCCAGGTCGCTCTTGTTCAAACAGCACAATACTAGACAAGCAATCATTCGTCCCAGCAACTACGCATGTGCCCGTCCTTTTTCGAAGGCACATATCTCGAGAATGGCTCTCCCAATCAGCAGTCCGTCACCGCGCCTAGACCGCTTTGGACAAGCCATGGAATCTCTTTACGGGAGCTTTAGCAGCATCGAAGACCCAAAAACCTGGATTCCGCCCCCAAGATCAGGCGGTCATCGGGGGCGATACCTATGGACAGATGCGTTCGGGGTCGTCAACTTTCTCACAATGCACAAAGAGTATAAGCGAACTGGCAATGACAAGGCTGGCGACGACCGTTATCTGGTGCTGGCTGCTCGTCTGATTGAGACTGTTCATGACGTTCTGGGTAGGAACCGAGACGGCCGGTCAAGACTGCGAGGGGCAACAGACGCGAACCCGCTAAGCGGTGGATTGAGGATCGGCAAGACAGATGCTCGCGGCCCAGATGGAGACGGGCAATATCATCATTATCTAACGGTTTGGATGTTTGCGTTGAACCGGATGGCCAAAGCATCGGGGGATTTGAAGTACAACAGGCAAGCCATAGAGCTGGCAAAAGCGATACACCCCAAGTTCTTTGTTGATCGCGCGGCAGCTCGACCGAGAATGATATGGAAAATGAACATGGATCTGTCAGAACCGATGGTCAAGTCAGAGGGTAATCTTGATCCGATTGATGGCTTTGTCGTGTTCCGACTCCTGCAAGATACGGCCATGGAAGCAGGTGATGGTGCATTCTTGGCCGAGGAGATCGACGACTACAGACGCACTATGGAGCGAAAAGGAGAGCACTTTGTTTCAAGTGATCCTCTGGATCTGGGTATGACTTTGTGGACGGCCCATTGGTTTTCCGGGCGAGAGCGCTGGGCTGCTGACCTGGCGGGGAAATGCTTCGAGCAAATATGTCAGTCACCTTGGTGTCAATACCACGCGAAGCAACATAGGACAGTAAGAATCAAGCTGACTAGGGATGGTCCCAGACAATCTGTTCGAGATTAACCAATATTTGGAGCGCAACATCCGATTTCGGTTGGCCTTTCGTGAGTTTGGAACCTGCATGGGCATCCAATGCCAGTCAGGTGTGAAGGCGGAAAAAGAAGGCGCAGTTGATTTGAAATGCTACTCCGACGCCATAATTGCTGCTTGGGATCCATACATGCAGCTATCCATATCCGATGATCTGACACCAGAGGACTTGAGGCCTATCTCGCGGGTGATGTATGCGTCGGCGTTGATTCCAGGGGGTAAGTCAAACGAGCCCCTATGATGAGTTCGATATTTTGACACATTCCTCAATCCCAGCATTTCAAGCTGGCTTCCTGGGACAGGAACCAACACCAACAACATAGCAATGAACGAAATCACATGGCGTGATGCCAAGGCAGAGATGAACAGTCTCTCTTTGGATCCTATACAAGTATCTTTGGAATGGATAAATACGCTGTTCTACGACTACGATGAAGGAGTAGGACAAGTAGTCATTGGCAATTGACGGGGCCGATGGCCGGAGAAGGACGGACGTCATAAAAACATCAAGAAAGATCTCAGGAAAGATCTCAAGTCTCCAAATCTTCTTTTCTACTCGAATGCCAGGGCATTATCAAAATAATACACATGCATGGTATTAGACCTACCAGACTTATTAGTTGCGGGGCGCGAGTGCCGGAGAGGAGAGAGCGTTGGGGGCCGAGCTGGAACACCAGTAGAGGAACTGGACTTAGAGAACGCGCTTCGGAGAATTGGCATTGTCGCCGTGATTTGCGGTGTTGGGGGCGTTCAGAGTATCAGCACGAGTTGTTTCACTGGCCGGTTGGGGGCCTGCAAGAGGAACCGCACCACTAAGCAGACATGTTCTCGGCCCAATCATATCAGTAGATCACTTCGGATCACTGCTCACCTTTCTTTTTCTACTATTCCTGGCCCCGTCGCTTCAAACCCTCGTCCTTCCTCCATGGCAAGTAGGTATGCCCTTTTAGCCAACCTCCATCGTCTTTTCTCTTGCTAATGTATTGCATAGGTGGAAAGAATGTCCTTCTTTGATCTCTGCTGTTCGATTTTTATTCAATATTTTTCCAAAAGTACTGAATCTTGGAATATGAACAGCGTATCACCAGCCTGAAGACATTCACCTTCCTTAGCAGCAAGACGCACAATTCCAGCCTTCGGCGCGGCAATCTGCGTCTCCATTTTCATGGCCTCCATGACAGCGAGAAAATCGACCTTCGATACGTACGCGTTTGTGACCGTGCAAGCTCGGAGTGTTCCACAAACTGGCGCGAAAATGTTGTCGCTTCCTGAGCGAGATGGCTCTGGCTCTCTTTCGGCGGTGGCAGCCGGACCGACGCCAATAGAACCCAATCCGCTTAAGAGCTGGCTCAGATTCCCCACTGAGACGAGCTTGCCATCTATTTCCACGCTGGTTCGAATAACTGACGTCTCAGTTGGGTCAGGGCGGACTCTTGGTGTCGGCATCGCGATGAAATCAGTTTCGACCCAGCGCATATGGACTTTCAGGCCGCATTTGCCAATAAAATCATCTGTCTCGAGCACTGCACGGTGAAATAGTAGGATGGTTGGAAGCCCACTGATGCAAAATTCTTGGAGTGCTCGGCGCGCGCGAGCCAGTACTTGCTCACGAGTTGCGCCGGAGATGATCAACTTCGCCATGAGCGAGTCGTAAACGGCTGGAATGGTGGAACCGGCGACAACGCCGCTCTCTAGCCGGACCCCCAGGCCGAAGGAGGTTTCAAAGGTGGTGATCACGCCCGGAGGGGGAAGGGAATCATGACCAGGGTCTTCTGCATTGATACGGAATTCGATAGAATGACCCCGGGGGACGGGGGCATGCGTTACGCAGAGCGGCAAGCCCTCGGCAATGCGGAATTGCTCCACGACAGATCAACTCCCGTAGTCTCCTCCGTAACCAGATGCTCGACTTGAAGTCGGGTGTTGACCTCCAGGAAGAAGATGCTGCCATCGGCTCCGAGGAGAAACTCCACTGTGCCCGCACGGGAATAACCTGCGGTAGCACAGGCACTTCGCTGGGTCCTGAATTTTCTGCTCTTGGTCCCCAGAAAGGAAGGGCCCGGGGCTTTCTTGATCGCTTCTGGTGTCGTCGCTGTACTGAGCAATCGCGGGTCCCAAGCACGAGCACTTGCCCATGCTTGTCAGCCAACATCTGTGCCTCGATGTGGCGTGGGCGGTGCAGAAAACGTTCGACAAAACATTCTCCACGTCCGAATGTCGCTGTCGCCTCTCGGAGAGCGGAATTTTATCTCTCTGTCACCTCTTCCATGGTCCAGGCCACTTTTAGACCACGTGCACCGCCTCCATAAGCGGCCTTGATCGCGACTGGAAGGCCATGCTGCTGCGCGAAGGCGAGAACTTCTGCCACTGTCGACACGGGGCCATCACTTCCCGCAACCAGTGGGGCGCCTACCCGCATTGCAATGTGCCGGGCCTCTACTTTGTCACCCAGAGCCTCGATAACGGATGGATCGGGCCCGATCCAGGTCAGTCCGGCATCTAAGACCTCCTGTGCGAACTCCGCGCTCAGACAAAAAGCCATACCCGGGGTGGATTGCATCTGCCCCTGACCGCTTCGCAATTACAATCAGCTCGTTCATGTCAAGATAGGTGTCAGTCAACTCAAGACCCTTCAGCCCATATGCCTCGTCTGCCAGCCGCACGAACAGTGCATTCACATCCAAGTCCGAATACACCGCAACAGACACCAGACCATAATCGCGGCAAGCGCGAATAATGCGTACCGTGATCTCCCCTCAATTAGCAATCAGCACTTTCTTCATGATATAATAAGGAGAGAAGATGGCGATAAGATGAGGAAGTGGCAACTACGGAGTAGGGAAAGATGGAATAATCCACGCAAAGTAAATGAACATTTCCATGCACACGAATTCCACAGGTTTTGAATAGGCCTAGAATTTTATTCCATGGCAATAATAAATGCTGACAGAAAGTGATCGACGGAAGCGCGACCTAATCAATTGATAACTTACGACCAATGCAAAATTGTAGAATATGTTGTTGGAATTAGTGAGGATCCACATCCGAATGCCCTCAATACCTGAGATCGCATTTAACCTTGGAATTTATGTGAGATCGCGTCATCCTGCCAGTATAAGTTACCTATGTTTTCCATAGTTTCCAATGATCGGAGAGATTTCTATCCTTTCTGGTTTCCATACAGTAAGCACTATTTCTGTGAGAATATTCATGCATGACAAGTATTATTCGGGCCTTTAGGCCGCAGTATCCACAATTCCACACTTGCAGCCTCAGCAGGACTCCATAACTACGAAGTATACACTACAGCCAAGCTGCGGGGCGTGTATCCTATCTGCAGCGCGTAATAAAACATAGTTCGTGCATGTTCGAAATGGACAGAATGAATCGCTCCTGCATGTGTACTCCGTACTTAGCGAGGGTTTGGGGCTGGCTCTATTAGGGCCTTAATTTCAATCAAATGCAGATAGTACCTTCAATCTCCCTTCTTGGTCAATTACGGCCTTTTCATGATATCCACGATGCGTTTTCTTCCCGTCAGCTTGGCAAGCATGCTTGTAGAGGCCTGATCTGGAAGAGACCATGGCGCTGCTGACCTCTCTTCAAACTACACCGGTCCCTGAAATTGAGGAAATCGTACCGGCCGCTCGCACGCTGCTGATTCGCTTCCGTCCGGAGAAACTGACCGCGGCAGTTTTAGCAAGCGATACCAGCCATCAAGAGCGATCGGCCAAGCTACCTCGCTCAGAACGTAGGATAGAAATCCCGGTCCGTTATGATGGCGAGGACCTTGACGACGTTGCTCAGCTGACGGATCTAAGCGTGAAAGACGTGATTCGCCGCCACACCGAGAGCGAATTTACAGTAGCCTTCTGTGGTTTTGCACCCGGCTTTGCCTACTTGATGGGAGGCGACCCTGCGCTATATGTCCCACGACGGCGAAAACCCCGTACGCACATTCCGGCTGGGTCGGTGGCTATTGCAGGCGCTTTCAGTGGTGGATGGCAGCTAATTGGCACGACATCGATGAGGATGTGGGATTCCGCCCGTAGCCCGGCAGTTCTTCTTCAACCTGGCAATCGCGTCCGACTTGTGAATGTGGATCAGGCTTTAACTATACCGGATTATCCTACCTCGGTATCAGATCAACCGAGTGTGCCTGCCGATGAGAGCCGTCCACAGTTCAAAGTGCTGACTGCCCCGTTCCCGGCACTATTCCAAGATCTAGGTCGTTGCGACCAAGCGAGCCAAGGTATTTCCGCCTCTGGTGCTTTAGATCAGTCGGCCTTGCGAGCTGCCAACCGAATCGTCGGGAATCCAGCCGATACTCCATGCCTTGGAATCATTTTTGGCGGATTCTCGTTTGAAACTATCGCCCGGGTGGTCGTCATAGGCTGCGCAGGTGCACCCTGCTCGATCACCATTCAGGATGCGAGGGGTTATACAAAGACAGCGACGAACCAGGAGCCCATTGCTTTAGAATCAGGGGACGTTGTGAGATTTGGTCATCCGCAGACCGGTCTGCGTTGTTATCTGGCAGTACGCAGCGGTTTCGAGGTCAACCGAATGCTGGACAGCGCGGCTACTGATACCTCGGCCGGCCTTGGGCCTAAGCCAGTCACGGCTGGCGCCGTCCTGGCGTTGAAAGGTTCCAGGCAAGGTCTGGTGAGTGTTTCGCTTCACGAAGCACCAGCAGTAAATCTGCCTGCGGCCCATGATGTTGTTGTCCTAGATACCGTGCTTGGGCCTCGCACAGACTGGTTCACTAAAAAAGGGCTGGAAATATTCACTCAGCAGCACTGGCAAGTCACCGCTGAATCAAGCCGGGTTGGAATTCGACTATTCGGTGACGTCCCCATCGAACGCCAAGACAATGTCGAACTACCAAGCGGTGACTGGTGCTATTCAGGTTCCCCACAGCCTATTTCTTACCGATCATCCACTCACGGGAGGCTACACAGTAATCGGGAATGTGGCTGAATATCATCTGGATCTTATTGGTCAGCTTCCAGTTAACACGAAGATCCGCTTCCGCCCTCTTGCGCCTTTTGCAGAGATCAGTTCACACATATAGCTCAAGTAGATAATGCAACAGGCTGGTGGGTTAGTTGCCCAGGGTGAAAAATCACATGTTTATATGGCCCGCGATGCCTACATATGTAGGTAACACCACTCTTGGCATATGCCAACTATAGCCTCTCCGAAAAAAATGATCTCCAGGCTGAAGAACAAAGTGAAGATGCGTGCAAACTCCAACGGAAGGCGAATTGAATTTGACCAGTGGAGAGTGGCACTTTTGTCTCGACATCGATATGATTCCATAAACTGAGAGAGATCCAGCGATATTCCAAATATCTATGCAGGCTGGGTAGTAGGGCAGAGGTCGTTCCGTGTGTACGGATTCGGATGTGTCCACCTGGACACGGGTGTTTTAGACAGGAGGAAGTTCATGGTGATGTACCCTTTTATAGTCACGTCAGATGTTCCTTGCTCAAATCAGAGTTCTGGTTGATATGTGAAAATATCAGAAGGTATCTTAAAATAAGACGTCTAAAAAGACATCTAAAAAGACGGTGTTACAGCTGAAGGATAATACATAATTAGGTATATAAGCACCAGGAATAGGAACAATAGTGCGGAACGGGCATGCTGGGCTTATCACTCTACAATGTACAATATAGACCTAGGTCTGACGGGTGAAATAAGTGAAGGTGGTACACAGCATAAAACGTACGGACGAGTTTTCCATGTATAAGCAGGGTTTTCAACGTCAGGATGAAGCCGATTCGAGCACTTCTCTATGCCTAAAAACAATGCAGTCTATCATTATCATTCGGTATATTCACAGCTGCTGAGAATTAAACCTCGCAGACAAGACGAACGTCTATACTCCCGGAAGTCCAACCACATCCCTCAATGGTGCTATCCGTCTCGGAAGAATATAGATGGCATACACAGCACTCAAAGCAATGAACAGGCCAGACCACTAGAGAAATCGTTAGCGAATAGGAAAGTTTGCCCTGGTAGGATTTTGCCCAAGATTAGACTCACCTTTTCTAACCAAGTGTGAAACCAAATCGCGGTCATGAAGAGCATCCACCAGCCCAGGCCAACAACTCCCCAAACAAGACGGAGTGACCACGTTCTTGCGAACCCGCCAGTCTCAGTTGGATCGATCACTGCAGTACTATCGGCATCACTAGCCTTACGCTCACGTCCCGCGTCCGTAGTGGGACCAACTCGCGACACACATGCGGGTGCGCGTGCACTGGCTCCGACAGCCTCAAATGCCAGGAGTCCCGTGGCCAGAACCAGCATCAACACATGCCCACTGATATCATGTCCACCCCTCCATGCACCACCGGCGGTTTTGCACGTCGCTGCTGTGAATAGTGTCTCTAGGCCGGTTGGCCGATTCTGCCCAGCAGCCATCTTCCCGACTTCCTCGAGAGCCCGTTCACATTTGCCGCCCGTGGCCACAAAGCCGCGATCAATAATTGCCGGTCCGAAGAACCATTGTGTTGAAAGATACCATACTGTTGTGGCGAGTACGTAGCGTAGAATGGCTTGGAGTATGCGTCGGAAGCGTGCTTGTTGCTGTGAAGAAGATTCCCGGCGAGACGGAGAGTAGAGGGGTTGGAATATGAGGAGCGAGACAAAAGCAGCTGTGGTCCATAACCATCCAATCTTTACGAAGTAGAGATTGAAGATATTATTCTTTCGGGCGAAGTAGTTGACTGGGCTTTCAGATAAGTGCAGGTCTGTAGCCAGGGATGGGGCCAGAGGGCTTGCGGGCTGTGGAGAAGAGCGAGACAAATCTCTGGAATGGTGCGCTGTTGGGGAGATTATTGAGAACAAAGACCCGAGTAATAATGTTACAGGGTATATGAGGAGAACAGTTGAGAGGAGAGTGACAGGTCGCGCGGTTGCTGTGGCCATGGTCGTGGGCATAGGGTGAGATCCGAATACAGGGAAATGAAGTGGTATATTGCGACAACGAGAATTCACCAGCACATTCAAATATGGCCACAGATCATGTTGCAATTGGGAAAGTCGAAGCAGGATAAGTTGGCGATGACCTGGACAGATGACATCAGGGTTTGCCGAGGCTGCTGCATGAATGCCTCAGGCGTCAAACAAAATCGCTATAGTTACAACAAATTTCCATCAGTGCCATGTCCATCCATCACCGAGCGAACAATCCTGTTCACAGATAAAGTCAAAACCCGGTATCTCTGGGCTAAATGTCATGTTTGGGAGTTGTTCGACACACAGGCGATTCTTCTGTGCCGGAGTTTGCCCCGAAGTAGGACTTTCCTGGTTTGAATTTGTGTTGTTTCCTACTGCATGGCAGGCGTTCTTTGGAACATGTCATTGGTAATGTAGGAATCTTAACTCTGTATATGGGTAACACTATATATCTAATCTCACAATTGCTCAATGTCAGACATGGATACAGATCTCTATAAGCTTTGAAATGCCGTTCACTTTTGTAGTGGGCCTCCATCCAACTGTGGGGTATTTAACGAGCCCTGGATATCAAAGAATTCAAGTGAAACC